TTTTTAACTACCCATATATCTGTGTTTATAATTTGGTTATAAGTTATCATATTATTATTACTTCCAAGTTTTATTTTACTAAAGCACAGAGATAACTGGCAAATATCTTTATCTGGGAATGAAGCCGTTACATATTTTGTTTGTCTTGGAAATGTGATATACTTCTGAAATGTCATATACCTCTGATAAGTCTGACTGGAGGCTGTTTCGAATAATATTATGCAAAGCATTCTTATGAGCAGCTGAACGATGTGATGCCAGGCCTCACTCTCTCACCTCTGATCGCAGGACGATGTTCTCTTCCTCCAGGTCAAAGAGTTTCTTCTGTAGTGAATCTAGAGGGAGGTAATTCGGGACTGTAAAAGACGAGTCATTTCTGCGAATACTGCAAAGAAAAAATCACAAACAGATGTGCCTTCTTTAGTACATAGAAATCTCCTCACTGAAAATAACAGATTTGTACAATTTTCAGGCAAAAATAGAAAAATAATAGCACTCCACACAATTTGAAGTATCATTCATTCTTTATTAATGCATGAATGATACCTCAGATTGTGTGGAGTTCTGTTATTATGGACTCATGGACTCACGGTGTGCTAGAAGCAGACTCTCCATCACTCTCCTCAGCTGCACTTGTGTAGAACTGCAGGAGTTCCTCCTTCATCGACAGATCGTGACGCACCTGAGACACCTGCATGGACGCATATAAACAGTCACTGTATGCACGCAGCAATAACTGTAGACTCAAATAGACTGTGTCGTTTTTTACAAGAATGTTTTTAGATCAAATGTTTTATGCTGCTAAAAAAGAAGGTTCTTTACACATAGTAATACTGTACTTAGTAATACTAAGAACCATTTTATGCTGACATGGTTCTTTAAGTTATTTATTCCCACCTTTTTGCTTCTTAAAATAAATGAATAAATACTTTCAAAGCCACCTCATTATTGATTTTCTGGAGCTCCACCTTCACAGACTGTCAACAGGTACTTTATATCCTTCTTAAAATAAATTTTAACTTACAAAGTGTAACTGGACAGTTTCTATCAATAATGTTTTATTTCTTGATGTATTTATATTCAATGTTAATAATAATTTATGCATTCAACTAGTTGTGTTGTTAGCTTGAAGGTTGTTAGCACACCATCATTTTTGGTACAACTTCCCATGTCAATAAAAATATAAATACCTAACTGACAGTTGCTGTCAGTGTTTTTTAAATTGTTTTTATGGAAAACCCTAATAGAGGTTTCAAGGTATTATACGACAATGCAGGTATAAACATAAAATGAATAAATAATAAAATAAAATAAAACTAATATTAAATAATTATTAATGAACCTATTGATTAAAAATGATTTAAAGAGCCATTAAGGTTCTATACATCCCTTTTCAAACTATGGTTCTTCATGGAACCTTTTCAGAAGGGGTCTTTTTAGTATCAAAAAGGGTTCTGCTATTTTTGCAAGCTTAAACAACCCTAATCTGGTGCTGTTTAAAATCATTCTTCTTTAGAGGGTGTGTAATTTCGGGCACCACTATTGACAATAAATTTAGAAAGAAAAGATGACATTAGCCAACAGGCTTGTCTCACCTTTCGGTTTTCTTCTCTTACCTCTTCTCGTATGTGCTCCACCTGCTCCTCCAGGAAGGTGTTCCTCTCGCTGAGGGTTTTGTTCTTTTTCAGCAGGGACTGGCCAATACGAGCTGCCAACTCCAAATCCCGCTCTTTCTGAATTGACACACAAAGGAACACAAAGTGACCCCATA